GCCCACTTCAGCTAAATTCCTAGAAAATGAACAACAGGCCGCAGACTCAGTAAATAGAGAACACAATTTTTTTCCCTCTTCCTCTCACTGCAGGCTGCACAGTCAGTGATGTATTATTCCTTACCATTAGATGAAAAGACAAAAAAGACAAAACCAACATATTCATATTTTTCCGCACTCTGGACTGATTCTTCTTTTCATACTTTCATAAAGTTCTTGCTTCATAAAATTCATTGAAACTTTTTTTCCGTGTTATCAGAAGAATACATTAAGAAGTGAATAATATTTGCAAGAAAATCTATTTCTGTGGCTATAACATACAGCCTTGTGAATGGACCGGAAGCTTTGGCACAAACGTTGATGATAACGGAATACTTTGGAAGTTCAGTAGATCCATCTGTCCGTTTCACCAACGTTATGCTTGAGATGCTTGAATTGTAAACAAAGGTGGAAGGTCGGTTGTTGTGTCTGTCTTTTAACTTCAAACAAAAGCTGTTATGTCGGAGACAGAATAAAAGGGTAGACAGATGTGTTGGCCCCGAACATAAATACAAGACCTGGTATGTAAAAGTTAACAGCTGAGACTGCCTAAAACTACCTTAAGGCTGTGACTTTGCAGCTCTAAGGTGATATCTGCAAACTTGTGGTGTGATCAGGCATTTGTGCTAGGGTTACAGGACTCTGCTGACTGAAAATGTCGGGCATCATACTGAAAATTAATAAGTGTTAATAATCAGGATAAAACAAGGGCATGTGCCACCTTTTCCAGAAATCAGCATACATATTCATGTGAGTGTGATGTTGCTGAATTAATGTGATCAGAAGGACGGTTTCAATCCCCCCTGAGTTGGTTCATGTTTAATCTTGTCTTCTCAAAACCAGAAGGCAAAGAGCAAGACAAGAGGGTGGAAAGCAACTCAGTGATTAATGTTATTAATTTCCACACCTCTAACCTTCTGTTTCCGCTTCTCCACATTTGGAGGTTGAGAAACCATGTTTTTCTGAAAATGTTTGGCTATTACTAAGCAGCTCGGCAGAAGTTTCCGATTTACATTGGGGGGATTCCGCAGAGATTGCTATCATTAAAATAACTTTATTAGGGTTTCTGCTGCATTTCCTGTTTGATTTACTGCGCAGTCCCAAGGGCTCATGGGTAGGCACTGAGGACTCCCCTACACGAGCCAGACCTTGCCAATGCTGTGCTGAAGCAACCTGAGTGTAACGTCCCTGTTAATCTGGAGCTAAACATAGCAGAAACATAAAGAAGGTGCTGCCCAATAAATCTCTTCCTGGCCCGTAAATGCAGCTTGTGCACTCGTTGGTGTGTCAATATTTGTGTTGACAGAGAGACAGCAATGGCCCGTGCACTGCCATGTTTAGGGGTTCTATGCTCAAAATGCATTTTGTTTGTTTAAGGTGTTTGACGTCCTGTCTAATGGCTGATGGTAGATTCCAAACAAATGCAGAGAGAGAAAAAACTAAACCAGAAGCACAAATGACAAATTTTCTATAATATTACTTTATGTTAATATGTGTAGAATTGTTATGTCATGATAGAATTTTTCAAATTACCCTGATAGCATGACAGTAAAGATCCATAAGCAAACTCGTTGCTGTATTTGCTAACAAGCAAGCCACTTGCTAGCTTGCTTGATGCTAGCTTGACAGTGGGTTGCTTGCCCGTTGGCAAACATTGTGTGAAATAGCAACCTATGACTTTCTCCAGCAGTTTACATTAATTTGTGCCCAGCAGCACTTAGTGTTATCTTGTCTTGTGATCTTTGACACATGGGACATAAAGATCCACCAAATTAGTCTTCTGATGTTCATCAAAACCTGGTTAAGACGAAACTTCCTGAAGCACCACCGCATCACTTTTTCTTTGTCAGTTGTTTGGCTGATTCTAGGTAAGATTTAACTCCTACCGTTTTATTTAAATTTTAATAAAATTTTTACTGATTAATGCAAAATTTTTTTATTGATATCAGGTCAGCCGATGTTCACACAGGTTTTATCTGCCAAAGTCGCTGTGATTCTCCTTGAAAGGGGGCACTGATCACCACAATAAACAAGATCCCCAGTGAAAGCTCAGAAAAGGTCTCTAGGGTAAAAATCACCAACAAAATCAAAATCAAAATTTGATTTTCAGTCATATTTTAGTATTATTTTCATTTTGTTCATTATAAAAAAAAAGCATTGCATTTAAAAATTAAAAAAATAAAAAATAAAATAATGAACACTACATCAACAGCCAGGAAAAAACTAAAACAGGAAAATGAATCGATCACATATCATCAGGCACATCGTCCATGTAAAACTGAGATTCTTCTCTCATTTGGGGTTCTTGAAAAGTTTATAATTTTCATCACATGTTGGTTCCCACGAGGATAAAACAGTCCTGCTATACTTAGATGTTATTCTGAGATCTTCTCCACCCCAGCTCGTGTTTCATATCCACTTTTCACAGATTTCCTGTTGACTACTATCCTACAACATAAAAGACTTAGTCAGTTCCTCCTCAGCTACCAGAAATGAAATGATATGTCTCTAAAATCCTCAGGACTTTTTTCAACTAATTGTTGAATGTTGAGTATCAAGCTGATTAGTGCTAACGCTGGCTTAAGTATCTCATGTGACGGAATATATAACAGAAAACTGTGAGGGACTGAGCCAAGTTGTGAGCTGTTCCTCTACTGGTTTTCCCAACAGTGAGACACTTAACAGTCTGGCATAGCTATGAGTTCCAGGCCACCTTTTTCAGAGTTGTTAAGTGATGAACAACACAGGCTGGAAAAAAAACCCACACACAAAATATAATGCTCAGTTGAAATCTGCACTCATAAAGCCCAATCTCCTGTTTCTCCAGTATTCCTTCAAGTCGTCTGTGAAGTGTTAATGTGCACTGTTGATTGACATGTTCATGAGTACTCTGGGGGGTTGTGTTCAGTGGAGCATGTATACTTTCTATAAATGTGTCCATCCTGCAGATGTGCATCCTAACAATCAAAAATGCACATTATCGAAATAACTTACATCTATTACAAGTGATAAAAGTTACATTAATTCCTCATTGCAGTCCTGTTATAAATTGTCATATACATTGTACTTTACTTGAGCATTTCAATTTCATGCTACTTTATACTTCTACTACATTTAAAATATTGCAGTTAATTACTAACTACATTGATCTGACACCTTTGGTTACTATTAACTTTACAGATCCAGATTTCACAATGCTGAGTTTATAAAATATGATGTATTATAGATTAAACTACCCACAAGTATATAAAATAGTTAAATAGCTCCACTGAGACCAGCTACAACATTAAAATGCTACTTACAGTACACATTGATTAATATTAGAGTATTAATGATAGTGTATATATAAATAATATATACATACTTTTACTAAGGTGACATTTTGAATGCAGGAATTTACTTGTGGTTAAATATGTTTATATTGTAGTACTGCTGACTACAGCCGCCAACACTAATTTATTATTTTATGAAATATGAAGCAAAATGTATAATTAATTATAATTAATTTGTAATGATCTAAATTATTATTTCACTTAAAATGTAACTTATTGATGGGTAATACGGAATGCATATCCTCCTATTTTTGCTTAGAGCTGGTTGCCTCCTCTGACGGCTCAAAATACATATATGAGAGTCTCACTGGGTTAAAATGAAGCTTTATTTGTCAGTTTGACCTCAGTAACTCCAGCCAACCCTCAGCAAGCCATGTGCGTCAACTGGAACCTTTATGTGGAAAGTGTTTATTTGCTATGACATTGAAAATTTCTACAAATATCACAAGAAGATACTGTATCTGCTTGTCCTTTTCTCCCCCAGAAGTGGCGTACCGCAGCATGATGTGGCATCATCTATGAATGCTTTCTTGGAAACTTGTCTAGTGCAGCCTGCTAATTTTTAAAATAAGCAACAGCATGAGAAGCCTGGGGTAACAGAGTCAGTGATTCATCAGTCACCATTCTTGTCGTAATTATGATTTCTATTTTGACATCTGGGGAAAGTCTTTGAAGTGTGTTTGATGCCGTGGAGAAACAGCGAATAGCCTAATGGAGACAGAGTTTAAAAACTGTTCTGTCTTCTATGAGCAATCCCACTTGTGGCGAAACTCCATCACAAAACTGGAGCTTTCCACTAAAATAAAGACGTCTGCTCAAAACTCTTTTACTGCTGTATGTGGACATTAGTTTTTTTGTATTCCCTAACCCCCATTTTGGGGTATTTACTTAATTATTGAATAATAAAATCCCCTTTTCTCTAGAAACCAATTCCCAAATATTCTTGTGACCACCTCCAAGATCGACAACCAGTTTTATAGAAAAGTATTAGCCATCTGTGTGGAAAAAGCTTTTCTAAGTCTGAGGCAAACATGGCTGATCCTTATGAAAACAGTCATAATGAGGAGGAGTGTTACGCTGGAGTTCCTGTTGTTTGTTGGTGCCTTCACCTCTGTTTGTCTGTAAGTCACTTGTAATGTCAAAATCAAGAAATAATGACGCTTAATGGTGCCTCTCTACTTTGTCATGTGTTACCTCGACACGTGTAGGTGCACCTTTTGATCCCTCCCCCACCACCCGAGAGCATCTGACACTTCTGTATGATGTGTTTTATGTGATTATCTTTTCCTCTGAAAACACACATTGTTACACTCTGGCTTTTTATTCATGAAAAAAAGAGCAGAACATCAAGGGAACGCCGGCCCAGGCTGGCTGGCACATATCGCAGGGTGTTAACAGGTGAGGGTAATTTCCTAAAGGTGCAGACACCTGGCCTCACCTGGGGTTCACGGCGAGGTCAGGACACCTGTGCTGTTTTATATCTTAACTCCCTGCAGAGGGCTTTGCTATTACAGGTGTTCACACCTAACATTTATTTATTTCAGATTTCACAGGTGCTTCAGATACACTCAGCAGTAGAAGAGCCCAGGTACAGTCGGTTTGAGAGGAAGAGGCACGACAGAACGTTGATTTAAATTTTGTATGGTGAGCTCTTGCACAAACTTCAAATATATTTACAATAATAAACAATCAATGATTCACGAGATGTGATATTTACAGTTATTACAAATAACGTGTTCACTGACTGCAGCTGAATGAGTCAGTCACTGGAGTCGATATCTCTTAGCAGTAGATTTAAAAACAATTCACATTGTTTCATCTTTCGTTGGCAGAGGAGAAAAACCCACTCTGGTGTCGAAAGACTCTGGTCAAGTTAATGCCAAGAAATCTGTGGTACAATACAAACAGTTTAATTGTGTAATTAACAATCAATAACCACTTCTAGTTAGAACATTTCTGCTGAAAGGAACCGAGAAACACTTATAAAACAGTCAGTCGTAACAAAATAACTGGTGTTCTCATTGAAATAAACTCATAAAAAAGAAACACTTTTATACAGAATATTTATACAGGAATAGCTTTTTGAATTGGATTGTTAACCAAAGGAAGACACATCGCAGACATCGATTTTCACACAGATTGCATATGTTTTTCTTTCTAAGGTGTTCTATAGGTTAGTCATTTTACCTAAGCTTATTTGCATGATAGTAAAAATTGCATACAACATTAATTGTGAAGCTTGTAGCATGAGTTGGTTGACATACAGCACTTTTTATAGGCAACCTTTAAAGCACATTTCTCCATTTAAAACGTTTAAGACACTTTTTGTTTTTACTGCCCATCGAAATTACATTTATAAATAGAAAATAGATTGGTGGAATTTTAAAAAAGCTCTACGTAACATAAACTTTTTAAAAAAGTAATTACATCAGAAACACTGCATGATCTGCAAATAAATAATGTCAGACAACATAAACATGGTGTAATTCACATTTCTAACTGTGTGGCAATTCAGAAAGTTACAGTGACAAAGGTTTTGCAAAATAATGTAACATCGGCAGTGCCGTATAGTACAAGGCATTTGTTGGCATAGTTTCTTTAAGACTGTATTTTTTTTTTTACAGTTACAATATAATGTCTATATATATATTTATATTTCCTCCCTAACAAATAATATGTAAAGACTGAGCTATTCTCGGAGATTCACCTGGGCTGGGTGATCGCGTTCCAGAGTGTAGAGTGATCCATAATCACATTATGCGCTTTTTAAAAGAATAACTAATCTGCCAGCAGGCTCCAGACTCGATACCTCATAATTAAGGCCTTGTCAACCACTTGGTCTGTGATTTCAATTTTTTTTTAGTTTTTTTTTTTAAATCCAGTTAAACATCACATACGTAAACACCTATCAAAGTCCTAGCAAACTCCAGGGAGACTTTTTTCTTTTTAAATATAATCAGTAGCTCAAAAAGATAAAGTAAGTCAGTGTAAAACAACAGACAGAGTGCAGTCAGCAAATACCCACGGCAACATACTTATAATAATTTTTTGTGCAGATTATTTAAATGATGCATCAGTCTTTACAGTGTATAATAATACAAGTTTTACAAAATCCAAAAAGTAGTACTTGAGTCTGAAATGGTCTTTCTGGTGAGAACACTCACTTCACAGAGCCTGTCAGTCTGCAACTGATTTTATTATATATATATATATATATATATATATATATATATATATATAAAAAACAAACAACACTCCTCATATAGTCCAGGCGCTGTACTGATTAAAAACACTACTTTTCTTGATTTGCGGTGTGGTGGTTCTGTGTCGGCCGAAGTGTTACATTTAGCACAGTCATCAGTCTGTGTGTGTGCACAAGAAAACTCTCAGTATATGTTCAGATGGGGAGAGTCCTACTCCTTTGCCTCGTGTTCTAACTCTGACTGGGCCTCTGCGCCTCGGCCCAGCTGCTCTTCAATCTTGATGGAGAAGATGGTGCTATTGGTCTGCGTGCTCTCGTCCAGCTCCTTCAGCAGCTCTCCGCTCTCCCTGAAGTCCGTCAGCTCCTCCTCGAAGGCCGAGCTGCTGCTGCTGCTGGTGTTGGTGTTAGTGGTGGCTGCGGTGTTGTTGTTATTGGGCTCCTTGAGCGCCTTGGCTGGGTGATTTACGTAGAAGCGCTGGTTCTGGAAGAACTTAATGATGGTGAGCTTGGGCAGGTCCAGCTGGGCCGACAGAGTGTGAATGGCCTCCTCATCGGGGTACAGGCCTACGTCCTGAATGAAGCTCTGCAGGATGCCCAGAGCCTCCAGGGAGATCTTCCCTCCGCAGGTACGGGACTTGATGCTCCCTCCGCGGCTGCCCTCGTCCTCTGTCTCTGCTGGAGAGGCGGTGGAGGGCTGGCGAGGCGGTAATCGAGGGCCTGTGGTGGGCTGCTGTTGCTGCAAGGGCTGCTGGGACAAAAGGGGTTGGGAGGGGTGCTGAAGGGACAGGGAGGGTTGGTGCTGCTGCGACTGGGGTGGCTGAGCCTGCAGTGGGAAAGAAAGGGGAAGAGAAAGGAGACGGGGATGTTATCAGTGAACACTTATCGGCGCCTTAATAAGGCCTTTCATTAAAATCAATTGAGTTGTGAGGGAAAATGGGCCCGCTGTGTATAGAACAGGCACTTGGTTGAAGGAATTTTCCATGTAATATCTCATTGAATGTAATCAGTTCTGCAGATATGATTTTTTTTCCTTTTTTGGTTGTGGGAGATCTCATTGTGGGGGTAGAGGCAACAGTGCATAGACACACACACACACAATCAGCCCTACACACAGTGGGAAACTGGCCTCTCTATTATAGCCTCTGCTGCTTATCAGTCTCTATTGCCAGGCAGTGATAAACAAGCTCCCTGTGCACAATTCACGTAGCGATGGTCTGGCTGATTTGCTGCAGTGTGAGAATGCTATCGATGGCTTTCACTCTGCCGTCAGAATCCCGTTAGTGTAAACACATGACACATTACTTGTAAAATGTCTCATTGTGTGGTTGGAGAGGGAATGAGTGGGCAACTCGTGGTCCCTATTGACCCCGCAAAATGGGTGCTCTTTTATTTTCATTTCTGAGTCAGACACTGTAGAATAGGTGTTTCATAATGAAGTTTGCAAAACAGCACTTTGCAAGGACTCTTGTTTGCCAGCTGCAAAAATGCACCCAAAGATGTGATTTTACTGTACCAATATACTGAGCTGTGATAGTTCTTGTTGAGCAAATGTGAGCTAATTTGGCTAATGTATCGCGTTAGTAAAGGACTGGCACAAAATATTTAAACACTAGTCTCTTATGGACAGTGTAAAACTGCACCATTAAGTCAGAAATAATCACATTTCATCAATCAACAACCATTTCTGTTTGGTTTGCATGCAAAGTATGCACAACATTTCCTCATTCCATATCTGCTGCTAAAATTGATTTGTAAAAGAAATCCTATTACCTTATTTATATCCAGTAAATGGCAGCCTTTGTGAAACACTGGCCACGTCTCCAAGTAACCAAATAACTAATCAACCACTCAGCTGTGACTCAGACTTTTAATAGAAGTGTTATTGTACTTCATTAAGATACTTCGACCGTTAACCGAGCCTTGTGTGTTCTTTTCTATTCATCTGCCAGGTGTCTTTTATAAAGCAGCTCTTTTAAATAAGTTCAGGCTAATGATATCTTTGAAAATGGCTTTTTTTCACTGAAAAGAAGGAACTTTTAAGTGTTGCTATGTTGTATCTAATTAACAAGAGTTCATAAAAAATCTTAAGTGTTGTTTATTACAAATTCCTGGAAAATTAGTTAAGATTAAAGGAACGGGAGGGAGGGGAATTAGGCTTTTAACTTTCTGATTTACAACTTCAGGAAAAGTATGAAAATATGCACATATACAGTAAGAGTAATCGGTAAGAGGTGTATCAGGAGTGTGTGTTTGTTTCTGTGTCTCACCTGAGGCCTGTATACATGAATTCAGGTTTCAACTGACATTCATTTGCAATCAGTCAATTCACTGATTATTTTCCTCAACTGAAAAATGCTGATCAAAATCTCTTAAATTTCATGTTGACGTCTTAACAATAGCTTGTTTTGCAAATCCCAATTCTATTGAGCATACAATCACATAAAACAAAGAAAGCAGCAAATTCTCACTTTTGAGAAGCTGGAACAAGCGAATGTTCGGCATTTTGTCAAAATACTTGCTGATTTACCTTCTGTTGATCAACCAATAGATTAATGACTAATGGTTTCAGCTCTAATATGAATAACAGAGTTGGGGTCTGTGCTTACAGTACATGACCACAAGTGAAGCCTTGTATGTGCTGGTTTGTGTGTATGTGTGTGTGTTCATACATCTATAATGTCATGGATAATGTCGAGTGTGTGAAAAATGATTCTATTTAATAAAAACAACAACTTGTAAGTAAGCATATTACATTCTGTTTATTCCTATCTCATTTTTATTTGTGTTTGCATGTGCATGTTTTGATGGTTTATTATAAACATGTCAACAACGTCTTTGTGCATTTTAATGGGAGTCACACACACACACACATACACCTACATTATGTTTTGAGTGTGTTTGCATCATTTACTGTTTAAATGGATTCTCCAGAGAAGCGTGAAGCCTGAGCTGGTTGTGGCTCAGTGCCTTGCCTAAAGGCACAGTCGGGCCACATGTGGCCATGCTCACCTGCAGCTGGTCACTGGAGATGTGCATCAAGTGCGTCGGCCGCTCGTTGTGGTGCTGTTGCCCGGCGCTGCTCTCCTGCTCGTAGATGGCGTCGCGTTCCACCTGGGAGAGGCTCAGGAAGCGGCGGATCATGGAGAGGTTCTCCCAGAGCGTCCGGTTCTCTGGAGAGGGATCCTCCTTCCAACGCAGCAGCTCACAGAGCCAGCCCTGAAGGAAGAATTAGAGAGGAGAGACACAGAGAGAGAGAGTAGATGAGTAAAACATGGTCTTAAGACTAAAATGTGAGCACAGGTCAAAAATAAATTGATTAATTTTGTACTGCTGTCTCTAAGAGGTTCCAAGAGTATGGAAACTGGTTAAAAACAGACAACCATTTTTAGAGTGCTTTACCTAAGAGAAGGACCAACTTATAACATTTTGGTGTTCAATTAAATATGAGTAACAAAGGAACCTAAATGTAACACCAAATGATTAGGTGCCAACAGATGTTTTACAAAAACTCAAGTAATAAAGTAAAAACACAAACACAAAACACCCCATTTGTTTCACCGTAGCTGTACCTGCGGTAAGTATGTTTTTTTTTGCCACAGCAAAAGATGAAGATGTGAATTAGCCACGGTCAAGCAACACAGCAGGAAGGAACAATTTAACATGACGAGAAACACACACTTGCATACTGAGTAGCACCTTGGGCAGAAAACAAGTGGCTCTCATGTTTGAAACACTCCAGCAGAGGGCCATGAAAGACAGAGCCGAGGAACAGTAGTGGACAATTACAGTCACAAATGCTTTATTTGATCAATACAATGGTTGCATGATAAGTCTGACCTTGATGGTCAAAAGATTCAACACAAGACTGACACATTACTGAAAGTGCAGGACAAAGGGTAGCATGAACTCACTTGTAATTTACTAATACATTGTTTTGAATAGTAAAGCTGCAGAACTGCACAGGATAACACTCGTGCAAAGTACAAATCTGTTAACAGATATACTCTGAAAGGCATTGTTGATGATATGTATGGATGTTTTACAAAATGTTGAAATGAATGACCAAGCAAATTTTAATTTGTTTAAAAAAAAAGTTTAGGCAAAAATGTCAAACATTGTCTGGTTCCAGTTGCTCATATGTGAAGATTTGCTGCTGTTCTTTGTCTTACATGATAGATAAATAGGTAGAAAGTTTACTTTTTTGACTGTTGGTTGGACAAAACAAGCAATTTAAAGTTAGCTTGGGTTCTAGAAAAGCATAATCTTCACTTTTCACAATTTTCTGACTGTTCTGTTATAAACAAATTGATTAATTGATTAGTCGAGATAATAACTGACACATTATTCGCTAATGAAAAATAGTCATTATTTGCAGCCCTAGATTAAAACCATATGGCCTTATCTTTCATTTCTGGACTTGTACATACTTTTGTATTATAAGAGCTCAGGACTTGGGTTTGGTTGATTGAGATTAGGTTAACATTAGCCACATTTCATGTTACAGATGGGATAAAGCATGATGTGGAATAAATACAATGACTAGAAACGTCTCACAATTACAGTAATTCAAATGTGTTTGTTCATCGAGCTGAATGACAAACTGAGGATTCATGACTGTATAGCCAGAAGGGCTCTGCAGGGGCTGAGTGACGTGGTCTCCCAGGCTCAGACGTGACGACCTAAACCTCAGCGGGCCAGTGTGTGAGTAAGAGTGAAGGGAAATAACACATTGTAGTGCTGTGTGGGAGAGCGAAGCAGAGTGGGAGGGGGAGATAAAGCTGTAGTGAATCTATCAGGGGGGCTGTAAACGGACAAGAGTGGCTGAAGAAGGAGGGACGGCCGGGGAGTGAAACCAGCGAGGAGGAAACGCAGTGTCAAAGAGAAGCAGTGAGGTGTGTGTGTGTGTAACAGAGGGCTACTCGCTCAGCCGGGTAGTCTGTCCTGGCAGTGTGACAGAGCGGCGCTGTAATCTCCCGGCCAGTGCGCGGCAGCACCTTTCATTTCCACAGGATTACACCGCGCTGCTGGTCCGCACACAGACACAAACACACACACACATGCATACACACAGAGGGCAGAGCCACGCCGCCACACTGCATGCAAGAGATAACTCAGCAGTTTGGTTGTCCCCTGTTCCAACTCCTCCCATAAGCCACATCAAACCCAGGAGGGGTTTTGGAGGAGGCCGAGGGGGGGGAGAGGAGAGAGAGAGAGAGAGAGAGAGAGAGAGAGAGAGAGAGGTGCGGGTAGAGGGGGCCATAAAGCCTGCGTGCCCACCTTGTTCCTTTGCCACGTTTATTGTTGCGTTTTTAATTTGCATGCAGAGGGATTTGGACGCCGCTCCAGTTGGGCTGTCTGTGGCTTCAGCTGATTCGGTAGTGAGGGAGAACACCCCCCCCCACACACACACAAAAAACAAACAAAACACAAACAGACGCACACAAACCACCACACACCATCTTGTCAAAGCCAGAGAAACAGTACCCCGGCCCAGCGATGGAGTAATCCAACTCAAACACTCCCCAAACCAGCAGGATTAAACCCAAAGTAGCAGAGCCAATCAAACAAAGGCACGACGTGAACTCCATTTCAATGCCAGGAAGTCCATTTGATGAAATAAAGTACAGAGAGTTTATTAGTTCACAAGTGTGAATGTTCGCTTGTGTTGCTTTTTACTTTACTGCCTGTATTTCTACAGTTTTGAGCTGATAATTTAGCTTTTATCGAAGGAGCTGAAGGAAGAATCACAAGCCACAAAAAAAAAAAGAACATTTGCTAAACGTTTTTTATGTGATGTATGTCAAACAGCAGTTAGCGCTGCTCCCAGCCAGCACTGTGGACAGTCAGCATTTTGCATGGCAGTTTCAAGAGCTTTGTTTGTGTTTGTCTAATTGCATTGCTTCCACAGGCCAGGCAGAGGCAACAGGGATAAAAGGGAAGAGCGAGAGAGAGATGGTGAGAAACAGAAAGAGAGACTGAAAGAAGTTAGTGATTTGACTCCCTTGGTTTAGTAAATTTTAATACATAAAATATATTTCTTCTTGAATGTAAAGTAGTATGTAATTTATCTGTTTGATTTCAAACACACTTTTAAATAAATGTTCTTTCCCAAGAATTATTAAATCAACAAGATTTTATGTTCAACATTCCCGTTCAACATTACCATACTGTTGCAAATCTGTTTTCCCCCTTATTGTTTAATGTAATTTGTTGAGCCTCTCCACCACAGCTGACAAGCACCAACCGCTCTTGATTGGATCATGGAACTTGCTGCCCCTGCTGCTAAAGTGTTCCAACACGGTCCAGAAAACAAAAATCTAGGGCTCTTCAATCCAGTGTACTCTGTGTTTTGTTGAAGATCATTAAGGGCTCTCTATAAATAAATAGAACAGGTAGTTCAGAACAGGCATAGTTGCTGGCCAACACAGTACAGTATACACTCACTGTGTTTCACAACAACTTGTGTTAAAAAAAAATGTCCTTGTGTCACGCACTAGTGATACTTGCAAGAAAGTCTGTGACTGAGGAGATGGATAATTATTACTTACAGCAAGCCTACATGCATATTAAAAACAGTATTAACAGAATTGTTTTATTAAGAAAAGGACTTGGACTGTATGGTTAAGTCTCACACTTCTCATCAACCCTCACTACACAGAACCGCAGGCAGCCATTTCCAGAAAACTATCTCAGACGTTATAGACTATACAATTAATGGATATATTGATAATGAAAATTGCATCCATAATGTACAACATTATGGGACACAAAAGGTTACCTGAAATTATTTGACAGCATTTAGCTACATTTAAAGTGGAGTGACTTAATGAAAGTCAAAACTCATTGCTTACAGAAAAGAAATGCTGAGCAAATAATGAAAAACTATATTATTTTATTATTAGTTTAATAAAAAGTAGCTGTTGTGGCAATGAAAAAACTGACATCCAATCTTTAGTGGATGACATTAACTGACATTCACTGATGTATCATCACAGCATGACGTCAATACTGATGAGTATGTTGATGAGCCTGTGACAGAAATCACATTTACATCACACTTGCATTTATATCAGAGACTGATACTGATCAGCTTTTCACAGTTGACCCAGTGAAGTAAACCAATGTATTTTCCCAGCCTCGATTACCTTAGAAACCACAAAATATTTAACTAGAAAGCTAAATACATCTCTCAGTTGAACTCACAGATGCTGCATACAGGTTCATCGAAGCAATAAGTACTGACAGGCATAGGATTATCTTGCTATGTTGGCACACACCTGCGACAACATTGCACAATAATCCGCTGCCTCTAGGTCATTGTTGCTTAATTATTAATTAGTTTCAAACAACGGGACTGACAATCAAGAACCACCAGCCATTTCTTGTTTTACAGCAGCCACAGATCTGACCAGAGGCTCAAGGGGCTCTGGGGTCATAAGGTGGCAAATTAAAACGGTAATAAACTGTTCAGCAGGCTATTGTGTAGTCCTAGTATAAAAAGCAACCGGGTGTTCTGATAAAAATATTTTCCTCGCAATACAATAGTGGAATTCATGCGCGGGATTCACCCAGCTATGCAATGTGGTGCACAGTGTATGTGAGTGCTGCAGTCACAAGCTGCCAATAAGAGCATAGGCCTGCTCTGTCAGAGAACAGCATGGTATTCACCACCCCAACCCACCCACCCATTCACCACCAAACCTACCACTGCAAACACCCCCAACATGGAAGCTCAGAGAAACACTAATGAACAACTGGCTTTGCAGTGAGACAGGGACAGCCGACAGACAGACAGAGGTCTGTCACACGGCCTGGCCAACACCTTCCCTCTAATCTCATTTGCTTGTTATCAGTCCCATCAGGCTGACCTCGGCCACTGAGAAAATAAATAAATAAAATAAGCCAACAGATGTCCATGAATTTGCCATTTGAGTCCCCCCCCCCCCTTCCTCGGATTACTGCGAGACCAAAAATAATGCCTCTGTTTCAACCCTGGAAAAGAAGACCATGAGTATATCAAGCACCATTTACATTTGGACAAAAAAGGCCACGATGACACATCAAAAAATTAAACATGAGAAATCAGAGATGGAGAAATGATTGTGGCCATTGTTGTGGCTGGCTGTTTGGAGGACTGGACCGTTTCGGAGGCAGTCAGACAACCCTCTTCTTTGTCTGAACAAGGGAGAGAGCTAAAAGTAGGGGGAAGACAATGC